AAGTGTGTGACATCTTAAAATACTAAGAGCCTATAAATCTGTACATAGCAAATGCTGAAGACATAGATGGAAGGGGCAGACCTGTACAACACAGTGAAATGTAGCAGAGAAAGAGGAGGAAAACAAACATCCTCAGATGGAGTTCAGATGGAGCTCAGAGGCTCAACGGCTCCCTTTGGAAGAGGCCCAAGGATGGTCCACCTGGATCCACAGAGAGACACTCGGCTTCCCGAAGAGCAGACAGCCTTACAGCACACAAACTGATCTTGAAATAGACAGGGAGAAAGAAGATGCTAAAACCATCCAATGACAGTGTGGTCAGTGTTGTCCCAGTCCCAAAATTAAGTAGTGATTGTGTTTTAAAAATTAAGTGCCCGCCACTTCTGAGAACATCTCCAAAAGCATGTCAGATAAAAATATTATTAAATCAAATTATCTAGTGACTCTGGAAAAAGCTGTGACCAACTAGGGTTAGAGCAAAAAAACGAGAAATGAGTGTAGAAGGGGGACCGGGGGAAGAAAGGGGAAAAGAGACAAAGAAGAAAAACACTGCAAATTTTCTTCCATATGGGGCATCTAAATTTAAACACACATGAATGAATGAATGAATGAATGAATGAATGAATGAATGAATGGATGGATGGATGGATGAACAAATGAATGAACAAATGAAAGGAAAGCAGAGGAGGGACTAGGAACAGATGGGGGGACATGAACAGATGTGGAAGATGAGCAAAATACAATGACACACATAAGAAAATGTCATAATGAAACCAATTGCTTTTCCTACACTAAAGAATTTTAATTAAAAGGATGGCTTCCATAAACAAATCTATTAGTGATTCCCCATCTGTGTGTTAGTTTTTCTGTCAGCCTGATACAATCTGGAGTCTTCTGAGAAGCAGCAGCTCAATTAAAAAGACACCTCCATCTTATAGGCTTGTAGGCAAGTCTGTAGGGCACTTTCTTCATTAGTGATTTATGTGGGAGGGCGCCCTCTGGGCAGGTGGTTCTGTGTATAAGAAAGCAGGCTGAGCAAGCCATGGAGGGCAAGCCAGTAAGCATGACCACTCATGGCATCTACTTTGGTTTCTGCTTCCAGGTTCCTGCCTCCAGGTCCGTGTCTCCCCACTCCCCCGTAGGCTGTAAGCAACTCGTCCCTCCCCAAGTTTGCTTTTGTTCATGGTATTTATCATGAAAGCAAAATAAGACCCGGTATCAGTCAACTCAGTGTAAGTCACATGTTCATCTCAATTGTTACAAAAATACTTTAAAAATTTAGCACCTCCTTGGTTTTTTTTTTAATTCAAATTTCAGATACTTGGTAAAAGATATGCAGCAAGAGCCCACAGAACAAACAAAAAAACAAAAAAACAAAACAAAAAAAACCATATCCATACAGCTTACTTTTAACATTTAAAAGAAAAAAATAACTGGGTAGTGGTGGCACACACCTTTAATCCCAGCACTCTGCAGGCAGAGGCAGGGGGATCTATGTGAGTTCAAGCCAGCCTGGTCTACAGATTGAGATCCAGGAAAGCCAGGACTGTTACACAGAGAAACCCTGCCTCAAAAACAAAAAAAACCAAACCAAACAAAAAGATTTAAAAAAAAAAACAAAAAAAAAAAAACCAAAGCTCTCACTATTCTCACTAAACCATGAGCATGACTGCTCATGAAGGTCTCATATGTCACTCTGAGATACAGTATGCACCATTAAAGGACAAGAAGGAAGAGTGATATAATCTAGTCTAAGGGGAAAGGGATCACGCTTGTGCCCCATGGATTAGAAGGAAAAGATTAATGGCATGGGGACCATGGAGGACATTACTCTGATGATAAAGGGGAGAAGATGCAGCTGTATTTGGGGTTTGCTGAAGGGGCCAGTGATGAATAACCGGGTAAGAGCTTCACAGTTTGTGTTCTACCATATCTAGTTATTACAGAACACTGAAAAGTGAGTGTAAGAGAAAAGCAATTTTCCTTAGAAATGCTGAGACTGAGCTATTGATTTAATGTGGCGGTAGGTCATTGTCTCAAATCTTTTCAATCACTGGAAATACAGACTGACTGATCCACCAACAGACACATGAAATTTATCATTAATGAGTAGTACCTGGAGTCTATGAGAGGAAGAAAATGGGAAAACTGAATACAGAACCCACTGATGCCAGCCTTCAGGGGCAGAATCAAGTTAGGTAAGAACAGACAGGAAAAAAGAATAGTGTGCCAGGATTCATGGTAGAAGGAAGTTTTAAAAATATTGCAGAAACCTCACAACCAAACATTAGAGAGTACTTAACAGACCTGCATATTAAGAAGCCCCTACTGGGACTGGCGAGACTAACCTGTCATGTGAGTATGAGGACCGAGAAAGGTGGGCACAATGGCACACACCTGCAATCCAGAGCTGGGAAGGAGGAAGACAGGGTACCACAGGGCTTGCTGGCCAAGCAGCCCAGCTTCACTGAGAGATCCTGCCTCAAAAAATAAGGTGGAGAGTGACTGAGGATCGAGGAAGACAGTTGCCGTCAACCTTTGACCTCCACACACATGCTCACACATGGACACACATGAACACTTATACACACAGAGAAATCCCTTCATGAGAGCAACTTACTTGAAGATGGGCTCTATCCTGCACTAGGCTGAGAGGAGATGGAAGATTAACAATTGGTGACAACAAGCCCTGTTAAAGAGACAGTCGTTGTAAAGGAAGCTATCTAAGAAAAAGACAAGATATTTTGAAACAAGTAAAACCAGGCAGAAAGCAGGGGACCAGGATCCCCTGACTGGGAACACTGTCAGGAGCCCAACATGGCCAAGAAGAAGCATCGCCCTTCCTGTGAACAGGGAAGGGGTAGTCTTTGCATCTCTGACCATGTACATCTTGGCATTAAGTGTGTGCTTGTTCATGCTACAGTGAGAAGGAAGAAAGCAGTGATGAGGTGGGTGGATGGCTAGACCTCACAGCCGCCTGGTCTTCATAGGAACCACAGTCATCTGACAGAAAGAGTGACGAAAGCATGCTCAAGGTACAGGTACAGGTTGTTGGTTTTTCCCTGTTTGCTTTTGCTTTTTGAGACAGGGTTGCTCAGTAGCTTTGGCTGTCCTGGAACTCACTCTGCAGACCAGGGTGGCTTCAAACTCACAGAGATCTGCCTGCCTCTGCCTCCTAAGTGCTGGGATTAAAGGTGTGTGCCACCACTGCCCGCAAGTACAGGTTTCAGAAAATTGAAGGAGAAAACAGGAAACAAGAAATGAGGGACAAGTTGAAGACTTGTGGGGGTCAGCAAAGCCATATGCCACTCATTTGCAGGGACACCAAGCCACCCAGCTGTCCATTTCACATCCATGATGACACAGTGTCCTGGCTTCAGAAATCCGTGACTGGACTGGTTCAGAATTGCAAACTCAGCAATTCCAATTGCGGAAAAACCACTAGTTAAGCAGAGGGAAGGAAACCAATAGTGAACAAATGGCTAACGTAGTGGCTTTTGGGGGTAAGAACCCAAGGACGCCAACTCTGGAAAAAGAAAGAAAGGATCCAAGGTCATAAATAAAGTCAAGGGGTAACAGCTGCCTCCCACCCCACCTTCTCCTCTGCTTTTCTCTCTCTGTTCATCTCTAACCTACCTGGGGCTGGCTTTCCCATGGCTTGACTGTCACCTGTCACTCCCACATTTATTTATCCATGAGTTCTCTGGTGCTAAACTCAATCTAATTCCTTTGTCCTCGCCATACTCTTTAGCATCAACCTACCGCTTGGCTGTACCTATCTACACAGGCAGTTCAACCTGAACACTTACCCCTCTCCAAACAGTTAATCCAGCTCAGACTATGGCTCCACCTACAGTAACTGCTCAGCCTGCCTCCTCAGGGTCACAGATTCAACGAAGGGCACAGAAGTTCAGTGAAACTTGGAGCTCAGATAATGAATAATTTTAATAGGAGTATGTGTCATGCAAAATCTGTTTTTATTTGGCAATCCTATCCTCCACCCCCATCAACACATGTCAGTATCTCACCCATTCCTTAATGTCACACTCAAATGTCATCTTCATCATGAAGTTTGTCTAGATTCTTTCCAAAGAGTATCCTTTCCTTCACTAAGCCATGAAAATGTGTGCTGTGCTGAGGTAAAAACTGTGGAGGCCTAGTCCATATCTAAAGGATCCTCAGGCTAGAGAAAATCACAGGAAAGAGGTGAGAGTTCAGTGCCATGTGAGCAGAAAAGAGACAGACATCTTCCTAAGCTCGGACTGTGGGGACCACACACCGTGGGGCATCACACACTGTAGTGGGGATCACACCCCATGGGCACCACACACCATGGGGACCATACACCATGGGCATCACACACTGTGGACACCAAACACTGGGGGACCACACACCATGGGGAACTATATTATGACAACTTCTGGCAAAAAGAAGCATGGCACTCAAAACTTAGAGCAGGCAGTAATTCAAATACTTGCTGAGTGAATGAAATTCCCTCAAATATTACTCTAGATAGCGGCTTGGAAGATAAAACACCTGCAGTGTGAAGACTGAAGTTTGGGTCCCTACAAACACATGTAAAGGCTGGGAATATGCGATGGCTGCCTGTAATCCCAGCATTTGGGAAGCAGACAGGGAGCCCCAGGACAAGCTGGCTAGCCAGGCTAGCTGGAATGGGTACACTCTGGATTCAATGAGAGCCTTTTGACTGAGAGAGAAACCTGACATCTGCCTTGGATTTACACATATACACACACATACACACTATATGCACACACACACTACTCCAGACAAATACATTTTCATAAATTCTATTTCTCCCGTAACCTCCGGCTTAACTTTACAGATACCACTTGGCTAGCTCTTTAAAAAATACACTTCTTATTTTAAAAACATGAATTCCATGTAATGGAAACGACCGTCCAGGGAATGATGGCTAGCAGTAGACAGACTTGGAAGGTTAAGATGGTATTGGATTGTGTAAGCAGCAAGCCACTCACCACACGCTGAGCAGCTATGAGGGCTGCTAGAGTGCTTCGCCCTGGTGCTCCTGGGGCACAGAAGGACAGTTGGACTTGGCTCCCCTGGACGGTAATGCCATCTGCCACTTGCTGAACCTCTTCGGCATGCTCCGCAGTGCTATACTCAACCACTGCAAAGCCACCACCATGACCTCCTTCATCCTGTGCAAGCTGATACCACACAGCACATTAAAAAGAGATCCTGAGATTGACTTAGGAACATTTGTTTGCAGTGATCATTTCCAAATCCAACAGCAAGTCCCTCGGCCTGTACTGGTGACAGTATTAAATTTCTTCTCCAACTTGCTTAGACACAGTTGTTCCCTGAAGACAGGAATTTTGACCCAACTTTTTCATTTTATAATTTAACAGTCACCAATCTCCTACTTATTAGGAAACATATACACACACATACAGTAATTAATGAGAAAATATAATTAATTATATTAAAGCTTTCTTTAAACCAAGTCACCAGATTCATGGACAATGAAACACTGATTATTTGACTATATATTAATGAAAAATAGTGTTACCAAAAGAAGATGGGTGGGAGGAGCCACAGTCTACTTTTATTTCAACATACTAAGCAAATCTCTGGAATCTGGTCAAGAACACCCAGATAAATCTCATTTATGAAAGGCATGCCTAGCTCCATGTGCCATCACTCACAGCATACAGCCTTCACTTGTGAGGGTGGGTGAACAAGCTGTAGCACATGGGTTTATTTCTACTGCCCACTCGCAGGCATGCACAGGTGACAGTAAAGTCTTAGGGTGCTATAGACTTCCACAAAGAGTGGAGGGAAGAAGGAATACATCATTACACAATTCCATGATTCAAACACATCTGAATGATCTTAATAAATATGCTTACACTCCAAGGTGACAGATGTGACAAAAATCAAGCTTGCGTCTTTGAGAAGTCAAAAAACACACAACCCTATATGATATGGGTTTTATATTTCCTGCTAAGGCTACAAATAAACACTTTTGAGTCCTTCATAGTATTTTTTGTATTTTAAAAGCTTAACTTTTACTTTCTTATTATACCCAGGACAATTTTCCATTTTTCCCTCTTCAAGATCTTTATTCCTTTAAACTGTCCCAAAATGTGTTTTTTGTTTGTTTGTTTGTTTTTCAGAAAGCTTTTTCCAAATGTGGAGGGCAAAGGAAAAAGACCCACATCTTGCAAATATTCCTCTAAGACCTCAACTCCTCCTCTAATTCAAACCAGACCTTCAGATCAGAGCCGTCAAAGCCAGCAGTCCCTTTGGTCTCTTGACTGCAACTGTGTCTCCAGTCCAGAGCCTGAACTTGACAGACCCTTGGATAAGAGGCTATGCAGAGGTAGCCTTAATATATTTCTGAAGCTTTAAAACTACTGCTGCTACTCCTGTTTCAGTGGGATGGCTTTTTGTGGTGTCTTTGTTTTGGGTTTTGTTTTTGTTTTTTGAGAAAGGGTTTCTCTGTGTAGCCTTAGCTGTCCTTGAACTCAGAGATCTGCCTGCCTCTGCCTCCCGGGTGCTGGGACTAAAGGTGTGTGCCTTTAGTCCCACTGCTGCTCAGCATTCACTTTTATCTAAAGCATATCACCTGAAGGCTTCCAAAATAAATCTCTTTAAAACCACACCAAGTTTTAGAGTGGGGCATCCAATTCAATACCAGAACTATTTAAAGAAGTTTCTGTTGTTCTGAAGCATTTTAGCAGAAGCTAGGGGTCACTCAACACAACAGTAGCACACAGATTCTACCATCACACAGCTAGACAAGGTGATCTGTAATGCTCCTGCCGACTCTTGGGTTCACAGTTCAGATCTGCTGTGTGACACGTGGCTTTGTCCCCCACATTTGCTCCAAAGGGCTCTGAAAAGCTACAGAGAACTAGGGACAGGCACGGAGTGACACCACGCTATAACTCTCAGAATTCAACAACATCAGCACATCACTAAGCCAATCCACTCCAGTTACTGAGCAAAGATTGGGTCAAAGGTTTGTTACAAAACATTCTAATTTTGCATAAGTCTTAGGTGGTTTCTTTATTGCTTTGCTGGGACAGGAGGAGCAATGATAGAAGAAAAGCAAGATGGTGCCTTTTGTCTAACATGTGCATCCAGCTGCATAATCTCCTCACATGCAGAATCTGAAAGGGCCAAGCTCGAAGAAAGGAGGAAGCCGACTGGCAGTCACCAGTGGAGAATGGAGTCACCAGGAGGGAAGCTGGTTACAAAGCATGAAATCTGAGTTAGCTGGTAAAACATAAGTTCGGGAGATTAAAATGTGTGCCATCACAGTTAATAATACACCATCTTCCTGTAGAATTCTGAGAGTGGACACTGAGCATTCTCATCATGGGACATGGTGACTCTGAAGGGCATGCATGGTCAGTTGGCTGGCTTTAGGCTCCCCAGCATGTGTGCAATACTACACAGCACCATGCTAGACATTACAAACACCTACAACTTTATCTATCCATTTAAACACACAGACACGTACACAGTCCAACTCCAAAATTTTCATTATACCATACGAATTTGGCAAATGCTGGGTGGGAGAAAAATAAGAAAAACAAGAAAGGGAAGGGAGTTAAGACAGGGAACATGGAAGTGAAGGGAGAGGGCAAAAAGGAGGAAATGAAGGGAACAGAAAGAACGGTCGGCTGCGCTGGGGGAGGAGTCACACCGTGCCGACTCTGTGCATTTATTAGGATTCATTTACTATAAGGTGCATGGAAATGCTTCCTAGTACAGCCAGGATCTTCTCTACATGCCCCCCCCCCACAGGCCCATTCAGACAGAAGTAGGTGCTTGCCTTACCCTTTATCCAAGTTTTCTATGCTCTCATGGGGAATTTGCAAGTATTTATTCACTTGTCACTCATCTACAGACTAAAGCAGAATCAAAATCGCCACTGTGATATTCACATGGATACAAAGGATAAACAGGTATTCGTAGACACATTGGTTACAGATGTATGCAACTGTTTGTTACCTATCTCAAATGAGCCCTTAGCAATACATACCTCGCAAAACACAGGTTTATGGATACCAGAGAAAAGTTGCAAGAGCTCTTCTGAATCCCTGTAGTCACTGGGCAGTTTATCTATACAAAGGCACTTAGAATGGATGAGCTCCGAAGCCAACAGATTAACATCCATCCACTGTGCAAAGAGTGCCGACGCTCCCATCTGCCTGCCCAATAACTCCAGTCTAGCCTTGGCAGCGAAGTCTTTTTTCATGTACTCCACAAACCCATAGCCTTTGGAGTGGCCAGTAACTTCACTGTAGACCAAAAAACACCTCTCGATGTTCCCATATGCTCGGACAAGTTCTTCAAACTCTTCCAACGTGAAAGAGATGGGCAGGTTGGTAATGCACAACAGAGCATCTGTGGGCTGCAGCTGCACTATTAACTCTCTGCCTCGGAAAGAAAACTGATGAAACCGCTGAATCGCGCTCTGTGCTTGCTCCCCATTCAGTAACGTAACAAAAGCTGCAAGACAACAAAGGTAATTGAAAAGCGTTTAGGTCAGTGTGGTCTTTTTACTGCTGTCACCCACAGTAAGTTATGCCTTCTATACCTAAGGCTCAGCGTATACACAAAGACATATCTTTTTCCGAAGCAAAATTATCACAAAATATACCCCTATTAGATGCAATGTTCCCTCTTTTTCAAGATAGAGTCTCACTATCTAGAGCTTGATGATCCGGAACTCACTATATAGACCAAGCTGACTTTAAGCTCAGATTCAGCTGCCTCTGCCAGCGCCTCCCCAGTGACCAACTCTAACGCTCCCAATTTTTGTTGTTATTGTTTAGAAACTGCTTTTCATGTGTGTGTGTGTGGGGGGTGCACATGTATATATGCAGATTTATAGGTCGGCAGGCCTGTGAGTGCACATGGAGGCCAGAGGAGGGCACCAGTGTCCTCCTCTGCCACTCTCCACCATATCCCTTGAGGTGGAGTCTATTCTCTCAACCCAGAGCTGTAGTTTTTCTCAGCAGCCAGCAAGGCTACTGTATCCCCCCACCCATCCGCACCTTCCTGGTCAGAGCTACAAAGCATGTGAGCCCATGCCTGGCTAGAGATGTAGGTGTTGAGATTCAAGCTCAGGCCCTCATGATAGCTCAGAAAAGGTCCGTAAACACTAAGCCATTCTCCACCCCAGATTTGTCAATTCTAATTTACTGTGTTTGTTTGTTTTTAGAAAACAGTCTTTTTAAATGTTGATCCTAACTAAACAAATTTCCAGGCCATTTGCTGAAATAAAAATTGAGTAATTCTATTAGGAATTCCACTGTAAGATCCACCATATGCTGAGGGATTTTGTTTTGTTTTGTTTTTTCTTTTCTCTGAGGGATTTTGTTTGGGGGTATTTTCTAACCCTCAACAACAATGTAAAGTTTTATGAAGCCTTTATAAAAACCCTCAACAGAAGTTAAAATGAGGTTACAGGATCTCTTCCCCAGAAAGATTTAAAAGATTCTCATAGGAAGTACCTGAAAAACCGAAAGTACAGTAAAAGATGCCAAAATGCCTGAAGGAAAGCAGTTTTCCCGACACCCTTTTCATAGTATTTAAATCATTAAGACAGCAGAATGGCTCTGCGATGCCAAGTCAGGAGTGAGCTCATCCCCAGGACCCAGAGGGTAGAGGAGAAGAACAATTGCCACAGCTATCCTCTGATAACATGGGCATTTGGGCACTAACATGCACACAAAATAATCAGTGTCACTTTTAAAGAGATAGCATCAGATTGGTTAGTGTCAAAGAACCCATGTAGAGCAGGCTTTTTCTTTTGGGCCATCAACCAGCTCCCAAATCATAACAGAGACTTATTAATTTTGAATGCCCAGCCTTAGCTTAGGCTCTTTTCTGGTTAGCTCTTTTAACTTAAATTAACCTGTTTCTCTTTATCGACCTTTTACCTCGGGGCTTTTTACGTTTCTTTCCTTCTGTGTATCTTAACTTTCACTGCTTCTCGTGTGTGGCTGGCAGCTGCCTGGCTTCTTGCCCCAGGGTGTGTCCCTCTTTTTCTCCCTCATTCTCTCTCCTCCTCCTCCTCCTCCCCCTCCTCTTTTTCTCCATGAGCCTAGATTTCTCCTACTTATTAACTCTCTGTCCAGCTAATGGCCATTCAGCTTTTTATTAGATCAATCAGGAGCCTTAGGCAGGCAAGGTGAAACAAATACCACACATCTTTACATAATTAAACATACATCCTTATATTGTTAAACAAATACAGCATAAACAAATGTAACACACCTTTTATACAGTTAAATATCCCACAGCATAAACAAAAAATAACACAACTTTGCATAGGTTAAATATTCCATAGCATAAACAAATGTAACACATCTTTACACAGTTAAGGTAATATCCCACAGCATAAACAAATATAACACATCTTTACATAGTTAAATATTCCACAGCATAAACAAATGTAACACATCTTTACACAGTTAAATATTCCACAACACCCACGAGTGTATATAATTTCACATACGACTCTGATAAATAAAATCAAATGAAAAGATACACGATTCTGATCTTGGACAAATATTTTAACCTTCAAACCCAATAAAACAATTTTAAAAGCTACCTAAGCTATTTCAACACCAAACAATAAAATGTATGGAATTTTAAAAAGTGACATAGCCTGCCTGGCTGGTCATGAATGCCTAGAATCTCAGCACATGTGATACAAAGACAGGAGGACCATAAGTTCAGGGCAATTCTAGGCTACATAGTTGAGCCAGGGAGACTCTGCCTTAAGCAAACAAACATTTGACACATGTGAGTTGCAAATCAATTAAATATACGGGTTAAAATTAGGGTGTGAGGGTGACCTGGCTGCGACATCTGTCACCCCTTGATCACCAGGGTTGACTCGGCTGATCTGGCTGGCTAGGAGGATGTCCCTTTCCTCCCTCACTGTTCCACATGTGTCCCCCAGAAACCGCATTGTCTCAATCTGAACAAAGCAAACCAAACTTCAACACCGTAAATATCTCAGTGTTCAATATCTGGGATTCACTCACAATCTTTTGGGCTCCTCCAAGGGGTTTAAGTCACTTCTCCAGCTCTGCCCTTGGCAGCTTTGCTCTCCGTGGCTCTGTCCTCTGTAGCACACAGCTTGTCTTTCAGGCTCCATTTCACCTCTGCTGTTCTTGGTGGTCATTCCATGGTATTGGCATCTCAAAAACTCTGGGCTCTCTCGCTGCAACTGAGCAGCACTTTTCACCAATAGCCTCTCCTGGGATCTCTTCATGGCGCCAAGCTTCAGCTTCTCTGCATGACCCCTTCAGTCCTGAGCCTTCAACTGCTACTGAGGCTGTGTCTTCACCGGATGCCCTCTCCTGGCCTCTCACAGCACCAAGCCTCAGCTGCTTCATGACCCCTTCATGCCTTCAAATCCAGTACCACCTGGGTGACTCTTACACTGCCAAGTTTGGCTGCCAGCTCTAGGGACAACTTTGGTCGCCCCTGGAAAACCACTTCTGTGTTCTGACTCTCGAGAAACATTTCCCACGAGATTTCACCTCAGCGACGCTGGTCTCTCACTCATCAGCGCTGATACCGCGGCCCCAGCCAACCGGCATCCACGTCCCAGTAAAGCAAAGGTTTCACTTCAATAGTGATGTTCTCTCGTTCATCATTAATGATTCTTCACCCCCAGCCTCCAGAACCACAGAATCTTAATTCAAAATAGCAAACAGGCAACGGCTCTGGCAGTTTTTAAGTGATGTTTAAACTTCCCTTTGGAACTTCAAAAGTCAGGCCTCCATGGTTTGCATTGCTTTCAACATTCTTATCTTCCAAGGTCCCACAGAACAGCTCACCAAGCTTTGAACACTCAATGGCTTCTCTCACCCAAAGTTCCAAAGTCCTTCCACAACCCTCCCCAAAACAACATGGTGAGGCCTGTCAGAGCAATACCCTACTATCCTGGTGTCAATTCAATTTCTGTTTTAGTTAGGGATGCCATTGCTATGATGAAACACCATGACCAAAAGAAAGATGGGGAGGAAAGGGTTTAATTGGATTACACTTCCATACTGTAGTCCATCATCGGAGGAAGTCAGGACAGGAACTCAAACAGGGCAGGACCTGAAAGCACGAGCTGATGCAGAGGCCAGGGAGGGGTGCTACTTACTGGCTTGCTCCTCATGGCTTGCTCAGTCCACTTTTTAATAGAACTCGGGACCACCTGCACAGAGTGGTACCACCCAGAATGGGCTGGGCCCACCTGAATCAACCACTAATTAAGAAAATGCCTTACAGGTTTGCCTACAGCCCAGTCTTATGGAGGCATTTTCTAAACAGAAGTTCTCTCAGATGACTTTAGCTTGTGTCAAGTTAGCATAAAACTACCCAGCATGCACCCCAAGGAAAGGAAGTTTTATTATGGCTCACAGTTTAGGGCTACAGTTCATCATGGTGGAGAAGGCGGGGTGGCAGGACCTGAGGCAGCTGGTTACACACCTTCCAGTCAGGAAGCAGAGAGTAACAAAAGCTAGAGCTCAGCTCACTTTCTCCTTTTTATACAGCCCAGGACCGCAGGCGATGCAATGTGCTGCCTCAGTTAAACTACCAAGATACTCCCTCACAGTCATGCCCATTACAGTTCTCTGCCTCCCCAACCCCACCAGGCTGATCTGTAACATCACCAAACTTATTCCCAATACACACAAACAACAGTCTGTGAAATATGAGGTATAGTCTATGTTAACCCGTTAAATTGTGAGCTTATGCTGCTTTATGTTCCCTATGTCCTCTTTCCTGAGTCTGCACACCTGTCTGTGCATCTTTCCTGACTGCACACCTGTCTGAGCACTCTTTCCTGACTGCACACCTGTCTGAGCACTCTTTCCTGACTGCACACCTGTCTGAGCACTCTTTCCTGACTGCACACCTGTCTGAGCACTCTTTCCTGACTGCACACCTGTCTGAGCACTCTTTCCTGACTGCACACCTGTCTGAGCACTCTTTCCTGACTGCACACCTGTCTGAGCACTCTTTCCTGACTGCACACCTGTCTGAGCACTCTTTCCTGACTGCACACCTGTCTGAGCACTCTTTCCTGACTGCACACCTGTCTGAGCACTCTTTCCTGACTGCACACCTGTCTGAGCACTCTTTCCTGACTGCACACCTGTCTGAGCACTCTTTCCTGACTGCACACCTGTCTGAGCACTCTTTCCTGACTGCACACCTGTCTGAGCACTCTTTCCTGACTGCACACCTGTCTGAGCACTCTTTCCTGACTGCACACCTGTCTGAGCACTCTTTCCTGACTGCACACCTGTCTGAGCACTCTTGCCCCAGTCTGCACACCTGTCTGAGCTCACCTTCCACTTCCTTTTGCCACACCTTCCTCTGCTCACAACTGAAAGATAGCAATCTCTAGGGTTCTTCCTGGTAGAAGAGTCATGAGACCAAAATTCAAATACCCAGAAGTTGCAAGCCACTGAATCTCTGCTCTCACTCTACCCCACTGCCCTGAGAAATCAAGTCCTTCTTACTTATTCAGTACTATGCCCAGTCACAGATAAGGTGCTGGAAGAGCACTGCTGTTCAACAATGTGCTCAAATTCCAATTGGGGATATAAGATATTCAACTGAGAGTCACAAATGTGGAGTTTCCAAAGAGGAAGTGGGAGGGGCTGTGAGACCAATCAAATTAAGCCAAGTAATCTACTCTGAGGGCATAAAGCCATATGCTGGCACTGAAATCACCACCTAAAGGACACACGCTACATCCACTATCATTTTATTTATGAAAAGACACATGTGTCCTCTCATGACCCCCAGAAGGGACAACAAAAGAGTTTTATCTCATGCCCAAAAGAACCTGAACAACTAGGGATGACCACACTATACTCCACAGATGGGAAACAGATTCCTAAGTGCTTCCCCCAGGTGGGAAATGTAGCCAGAGTGCCGAGAACTGGAATCCCTCTGCATCTGGGAGGCTTTTGCTGTTTTGGTGTTTGTTTTTGAAGGTCTTTTGGGGGGTGCCTCCAGCTTTCAAGATAAATAATTTGAAATGGAATACACATACATATAGCAGTTTTATCATCATGCTGTATTTTATCATATAAAAATGCTCATAAACATGTATATATCATATGCCCATAAAAGAACAGAGTTCTGATCTCACAGATATGAAACTAATACTCAGAAAAACTAAGCAAGTTTCCTAATTTGTCCAACTAAAGGTCAAGTTACACACATTGTGTGTTCACAGAACCCAGTAACATATTAGATAGAAGCACACCAGGCCCTTAAAGAACACATAACATTCAACATTCATGGTATGGTTAAAAACCATACCTCTAGTTACACTGTATTTGTTTACTGGTTAAAGTTCAGGACATTAATATTGTTCTCAGAAAGTAACCGATGAGTCATACTGATAGGATTTCACACTTAGGAACTCCATAGCTGACAGGGAATAGAGCCTGGTGGAGGGATGCTTGCCAGCACCTGCAAAGGCCCTGAGTTCAATTCCTAGCACTAGCAGAGGACAGATGAAAAAAGACAGCAAGCTTTCCTGCTCGGTAGTAGCTTCATGCAAAAATCAAAACAAGATTATGTGCTTGAACAGAAGGCAGGCTCACCTGTTCGCTTATTCCTGTCCACATAGCAATACTTTAGCTCATAGTCCTGTAATAAGTCATGAACCTCCTGAAAGATACAAAGCCATGAAAAGTCAGTAAGTACATCAGTCCGGTTAGTGGTTAGTGGCTGACCCAGCTCAACCACCACCCTTGCCAGTCACACTGCCACTCCCCGTCCCTGGCATGCTGCCATCTCCCCTCCACACTGCTGTCTCCCAACACACCCCATCTAACACTCAAACTGAGCACTTCCTACCCCGTGTGAACCTGCATTTCACTCTGCGTTTCTGCTCACACTTGCACTGGATCTAGCATCATTGAACTAGTCACCAAAGCTGCCCAGGCCACCTAAGGTCACACTGAAATCCCAACTCCAATGCTCTGGGGGAGCTTTTCCTCACATCTTCCCACAGAATGTGCTCTCATGCCAATCGCCATCATGCCCTGATCTATGCCTCTCTTGGGGAAATAGCTTTATATTAAATTAGTCCATATGCTGCCATTTAGGCAGGAAATATACCTGTAAATGCTTGTAACAAACATGAGAAAAAACAAATGTATATTGCATGTACTGTGGTTAAGTAAATTGTAGATTTCAAACTTATAACTACATTTAAACTAAATATTTTTATAAAAAACAATCAATGTAGCAGAAACAGTACCAGTTGAAGTCGGCCCTTCTCAGCATACAATGTACGAACTCATTTTCTACTTTTAGATTTTGCCTGCGATACTTTGCATGAGATAGGCATTTGAGTCCGTACCAAAGTGAATAGGATTTGTTTTGAATTAGCATGTGGTACTGAAATTTTTCTGCATACTTTTTTGAGACTGGGTCTTACCATGTAACACTGACCAAGGTGGTGTCCTGGGGTGGGCACAAATCACAAAATTCTTAACAGATACAAAGCACTCAAGATTATCACACAGGTGGGATTTTTGACCCCATCCTAGAGAATGACAAGCAATCCATCGGAGAAAAGAATGCATGTGGAGAAAACACAGGTGTCAGTACTCAAGTGTTTAACTAGGTGAGCTCTTACTACTGCAATTATTATAACTAGTTCTCCTCTACCTTTACTGGGTAGAAGATATGAGGATTTACTTATATGACAAATCAGAAAACCTGGGACTAAGGGAATGACTCCATATATAAAATGCTCGTCAGGCAGTTTCGAGGACCGGAGTTTTGATCCCCGAACCCATGTAAAAGACAGGCAGGTGGCAGCCAACTCCCTGGGGCAAACTGGCTAACTAGACAAGCAAACCCTGGGTTCAGCGAGAGATGAGAGACTATCTTGATAAACAGAGTGGAGAGGGATCAAGGGAGACACATGATATCAACTTTGGGCCTCCACACATTTATTTGTGTGTACACAGACATACACACAAATGACTTATCTATACACAAATACATATCTATACACTGTATGCTTAAAAAAAAAAAATGCCCAGAAACCCTGAGCTGCAGGAACTCAAGTACAGTGAGTGATGTCAGCAACTTATGAGTGGATCCTGAGCGGCTCCAGGAAACACACCCTCATTCCACCCATTATAAATTTCCAAAGGACATCATCAAGTAATCATTAATAGTTAAAAATTGACACAATTATAATTTGTACAGTTAAGAGCAACCTAGGAAAGGAAGATAAAGAACAGGATGGCCACCCATTAGAAAGAAAGTTTCCCTGGGGCTGTGGAGACAGCTCAGAGCTCTTCCCAAGGACCCAGGCTTGTTTCCTAGCACCTTCATTGTGGCTCATAACCATTGGCAACCCCAGTCAGGGGTTCAGATGCCTCTGTGGACACCAAGCACACACATTGTGCACAGACACATAGGCATGCAGGCAAAACACGAGTCTACATAGAATTTTAAAATCTGAAAAGGAAATTTTTGAGTTTACCTTTGATTCCAGTGCAAAGGGGAAAGAAGAGTACAGCTAAAATAGGCAAGTTATAAAAACATAAACTGGGTGAAAATACAACAATCATCGGTCACATAAGACAGGTGAAGTTAAGCATCTTTTACGGCCTGTTAGTAAGATTGTTATAAATGCCTAAACATACACATCAGCTTTGTGGAACAGTTTGCTAACTAGAGCAGTTCAGATGCTAGTGTGGCTTATCTTGAACGCTTGGTGTTTTCTCAGACTTGGATGTGGTGCTAAGAAAATCTTAACTTCTCCATTGCACAACCACACTTCACAGAGACAGCTTTATTGGAGGGATCAAGTGTATTCTGTTGGTGGCACAGACTCTAATCTTTCATTTGGCTGGTGCGCAGCTGTTGAGTGCTAGATAAAGAAAAGCGATACCACTCAGCACGTTATCAAGTATCTGTAAACAAATGGCATATCGTGCCTTTCCTTTAGCCAAGGGAATTACCTAAGGGAAGCTTCAGGACCAAAGATGCATTCTGCAACTTAGAAATCTTATTTTCACAACATCTGTACTTCTAATCACAGCTCCTCTGTACATTGGGTGTGGGATACCGTCTGCAACTGGAGAAGCCTTAAATAGCTTGCAAGAGAGAAAGAACCAATGACCTTTCTCTTTGCCCTAGCGGTGAACCCTCTCTCTGGGCCTCAGCAAAGAGACCAAAGGAGAAATTTCAGGCCTTACAGAGCGTCCCAGGAAGCATTTGCCAACGCTTCCCTAGGCTCTGCCACACAGACCTGAAAGAACTGAACTTACAGCATCCCGGAGCTGCCCTGGCTGTGTGAGCAGCGTCCTCATACACAATTTGAAAGCACTCTATTCAGCAACACCATTCACAAATTCCTTAAAGCAAAGAAGCCCGGCAGCCTGACAGTTTGTGTTGATGTTAGTGTGATCAGGACAGGTTCATTAACACCCCTGAACCTTTATGAAAGCCTCGTAAAAAGTTTACAGCAAAGGATAAACAGCTTTCATTACTTACACAGAGAAACCCTGTCTCGAAAAACCAATCCCCCTCCCAAAAAAAAAAAAAAAACAAAAACCCAGCTTTCATTACATGCAGCCAGTGGCACCCTCACCAACTGTGGTAGTTTGAATGTAAATGGCCCCCATAAGCTCATATGGAGTGCCATTATTATTAGGAGGTGTGGTGTTGTGGGCCTGGGTATGGCCTTGTTAGAGGAAGTGTGTTACTGTGGGGGCGGGCTTTGTGGTTTCCTATGAACAGGATACTGCCCAGTGTCAGACTCTCAGCTACTTCTCCAACACCATGTCTGCCTGCATGCCACCATGTCCCACCATGATGATAATGGGCTGAACCTCTGTGTAACAGGTCTGTCTTTGGACCACTAGCTCCCAAATAATGTCATGGAAATTTCTTATTAATTATGAAATTATTGTTCCCAACTAGCTCTTATACTTAAATTAACCCATTTATATTAACCTATGTTCTGCCATGTGGTTTGTGGCTTGTGGTTTGTTAACTCTCCTCCATACTGTACATCCAACTTACTACACATGTCTCTGGCAAATTCCACCTCTTTTCTTCCCAGAGCTCCTATCTCTGCCCAGAAGTACTACCTATCTTCTCCTGCCTAGCTATTGGCCACTCAGCTCTTTATTAAACCAATCAGAAGATGCCTTGGCAAAGACACATCTTCACAATATACAAAAAGATTATCCCATAACACCCCTGAATTGTAATCGAGCTCCCTAATTGTTTTCCTTACAATAAGAGTCGTGGTGTCTCTTCACAGCAACAGAAGCCCTAACTAAGACACCAACCAGGCACAGCTGTTTTTCTGCACTCCTTCCCATGTGGATGACACAAACCTAAAGCACAGGTTTCCTAAGCTCTTCATTGTAACAATAAGTCTTTCTGCCAGGCCACCCATGTTCTGCCTGCTGCCACATTAAGGTCCCAAGTAACACAAAAAGACTTATATTAGGTACAAATGCTGCTTAGCCAAAGACTAGGATTTCTCATCTGCTAGCTCAGTCTTAATTATCATAAATCTATATATTTTATAAGATTTACCTTATCAAGGACACCTTCCACTGGTGCCCTCTCTTGCCCGGTGGATCACCTGGCGACTCCAGAGCAGAGAGCAGGAAGAAGAGAAAAGGGAAGGACTCCCTTCTTGCCCTTGCTTATATATGAGTGTGCCTGCTATCTCACTTCCTGCCTGGATCACAAGACTTCCTTTTACTACATTTCCCAGAATCCTCCTTGACTCCTAGTCCCACTTAACTTGCTGCCTCATTGGCCAAACAGTGCTTTATTTAACAACTAATAAGAAGATAAACATACACAGAAGGACCTCCCCATCACTTCATGGATATAACTTCATTTAAAATTGTTTCAAGAAGGGCTTTTGGGCCAGCAAGATGGCTGAGTAATAAAGATGCCCACCACCAAGCCTGCAGATCTGAGATCAATCTGAGGGACCAACATTTGTGGAAGGAGAGAACTGACTCCCAAAAGTTCTCCTCTGACTTCGACATGCATATCATGGCATATACACACAAATTAATAATTTTTTAAACAAAGGCTTACACAGATTGAAGCATACCACAATAAAGTACACTATTTTTAAATCCCACTAATTAGGATTAAAAGAAGAGACCAAGGGGCCTGTGAGATGGCTCAGTAGGTAAGAGTACTTGCTGCCAAGCCTGACAACCTGAGTTCAATCCCTAGGACTCATATGATGGAAGGATTTATCCTCTGACCTCTACATGCACACAATGGCATGTGTGCATGCACCTACACACACATACACATGCACACACACACACACACACACACACACACACACGTAAAAGTAACTCTGAGAAAAGACCAAATGTGTCACTTTAAATTGTAAGCAACTGGAAAACATCAATATTACCTATAAAGCAAATCTAGACAATCCTTTTCCTCGTTCCATAGGTGTCCCTCTGGATAGATGGACAGTCCCAAACAATAGGTTATTATATACTATGATGGGCTTTTTCAAGTGGCATCACATTATACTTTTTAAGATCGCCAGGGCCTTGACGCTGAAACTCAGTACTCCATTTCTAATGCCTGGTTTGTTTCCGGGCTAATGTTATTTTACTCTTTACACTTTCATTAGCTATTACATT